TTCAAGATATGAACCTGCAATTGATGGAATGATGGATGGCATAAAGGCATCAGGCAGCTATAAGCAGGACCCTGCTGGTTCTTATGGTCCTTTCCCAGCTGCCCGGCTTTACAAGCATGCTGGTCCTTGTGCACGTAGCAGTCATTGTGCATGCCATCATACAGGAGTGACACACGGCAGGTGACCGCCCCTCCCACCCGCGACGTGACACGTGCTGGCAGTCCCCTCCGCCACACACGGTTTTCTGGTCTGTAGCCGTCTGAGCTGCTCTCCTCTCTCGGCTCATTAACGAGCTGGTGCAGACTTAGAACCGCCCAGCAACCAATAGCTGCTCAGGAGAAGAAGATGGTTATGGAAGGGGGGGAGATGCAGCCTTGTGTTTACACCGACCCCCCCAGACTGAAGTGGGGAGACAGGCAGTGAGGCAGCGTCTGGGACACAGCAAAGGAAGAGAGGGAGAGGGAGAGAGCAGAGCTATAGACAAAGGAAGGCAAGGAAAGAAGAGGAGAGGAAACATTGCAAACTCCTGGGCACTGATTGGGACTTCTGACCTTCTCCTGCTGTGCCAGCTTCCAGTGCCAGAATTCTGCTGCCCTGCTTTCTGTCTGCAGGTATTTCTCTGCTAACCCTTTCATAGCCTCCTGACTCTGTTCTGCCTCTCTTGCATCGCCCTCTGCAGCATCCTTCCACCTCTGTGCCCTCCTCGACCACCCACGTGCCCCTCCTGCCTTCCAGACAGTCTAGTGATGCCACTGTGCAGCAACTTCTCATAAGAAAAACTCAGGATGGTTCAACAAAAATCTGTGGGGGGCATCCCAAAGAGCCAAGATGCAGCCCCCGGGGGCCCCAGCTGGTGCAAGACGCCCAGTGGGCACATCAAGCGTCCGATGAATGCCTTCATGGTGTGGTCTCAGATCGAGAGGAGGAAGCTGATGTCTCTGTGCCCCAACATGCACAACGCTGACATCTCTCGCAGCCTCGGCCAGCGGTGGAAGTTACTGGAGGACACAGATAAGATCCCTTACGTCCGGGAAGCCGAGCGCCTGCGGCTCAAGCACATGGCCGACTACCCCAACTACAAATACCGTCCCCGCCGGCGCACACGGGATCCGGCCAGCAGGACGCGCGCCAGGCTGCCCCGTACCACGTCAAGGTGCCAACCTGCTTCCTCTCCGTGCCAGTCGGAAGTGAATCTGGGATCCAGAATGCACTGGGGGGAGGAAAGCTCCGGATGGGGGGGGCACAATGTCGGCCAATCAGAGGAGACGCCGAATCAGGAGTCGTCAGAACGCAGCCCGGAGGTGCCCCCCTACTCTCCTGCCCAGCCCCCCCATGCCCGCTCCCTGCCATCTTCACCAGAGCCAGTGGAGGAAGATGAGGGACTGGATGAAAGTCTCCCCGGGCTTTGCTCTGGGTCGCTCTACGTCCCATCGGACAGAGACCTCCTGCCCAGCAGCGGGTCTCACTTCGAGTTTCCCGATCACTGCACTCCGGAGATGGTGGAGATGATCTCCGATAGCGGTCTTCTTGGAAGTGTCTCTGACTTGGTGTTCTCCTTCTAGATGATCTGGGAGGACCCGGCAGCAGGCAACACCTTGTTGAACTGTATAAAGACTTTTCCTGATTGAACGACGAAGGTGATTCGCATGGAGCACTCTCTCCGCGTTCTCTCAGCACTATCCGTCTTATCCGTCTCTCTCCGAACCCTCATACTTCAGTTTCTCAGGGTGCTCTCTGCTGTCTTGCCTAAGCTTCTGACTCTCTAAGCTTAAACTCTGACGTTGCCATCTGAATTCCTGGCTGTCTCTTTTTGAGCACTCTCATGCTGTCTCTCAGTGCAACTCTCTCTTAGCTGCCCACTCAGAACGAGCTGTCACTGTGGTGGGAGCGCTCTCTGCTGTGCTGACCTCCTCTCCGCCTATACTAATACAGACAGACAGACATACTGTGCACTCTCCTGTTAGCACTATGCATGCATCAGTGTCTGTCTGTCCGTCTCCTGGCTCTGATTCTGGGAGTCCAGCCCGGTGCAGACCCCTCCATCCGAGTCGGGGGGGTCAACCCAGCCAGGTAAGGACATGCATACCTCTGTGTATGTATGTGTATGTATGTGGGTCTTTATTGGACCGATATCTGTCTGTCCGTGTGTATGTTTGTTTGTCTATCTTTCTATCTATCCCAAATCTATCTATCTATCCCAAATCTATCTATCTATCTATCTATCTATCTATCTATCTATCTATCTATCTATCTATCTATCTATCTATCTATCTAATCTATCTATCTATCTATCCCAAATCCATCTCTCTCTCTCTCTCTCTCTCTCTCTCTCTCTCTCTCTATCCCAAATCTATCCATTTATTTCATATTACTGTAATGGTTCTATTTGTCTATATATCTGTCTCTTGATCAGTCTCTCTCTCTCTCTCATTCTCTCTCTCTCTCTCTCTCTCTCTCTCTCTC